AACGGGAGATGGAGGACTTCATGCGACGCAACCGAGAGGGGAAGAGGAAATGCGAAGCTTCCCATTCGACGCATCTCAGGGCTAAAATCGCTTAGGTTAAGTTGGTGGGAACACTAAGCTAGGAATAGGGAGGGTAATTAAGTGTTAATTAACTTAATTAAACTTATAAATTCTTAAGTCGATGGGACCACTAAGCTGGGATTAGGGAGGGTAATTAAGTGTTAATTAACTTAATTAAACTTATAACTTCTAATTTCTTTATATCTCTCGATCTATTCATAATTAAAATAGAGTGTTTCATATTGAATTAATGGATTTGATGCATAGAATTTTATAAAATTAACTCTACATTTTTAAGTCGCCAAATTAACAATTTCTCAAAATTGGTTATTACACAAGTCTTATAATTAAGGGAAGTCTCCCTCTAAATACACAAATGATTTCACTTCTCTTTTCTGTTGAGTCATGTCTAACAAAAAACAAGTTTTATTATCGCATTATAGTATCGGTCATCCCAATTTCAATTATATTACTAAGTTGTATCTTCATTTGTTTATCAATAAAAAATCAAGTTTCTATCAATGTGAGATTTGTCAACTTACCAAACATACTAAAAATAACTATCATTTGACCCAATACAAACCCTCACACCTCCACAATAGTATTTGGGAACCCTCAAAGGTGAAAGCCTTAAGTGGATTAAATGATTTGTCTCCTTTATTGACAAACATACAAGAACCACTTAAGTATTTCTAATGAATGAGAAATCTAAAATAGCTTAAATCTTCTAAAGCTTCTTTGATGTGATTCAAACTCAATTCCAATATTAAATTCAGATCCTAAAAATCGTTAATGCAAAGGAATATTTCATCCCCATCATCAGATCCTATCTTTCAAAAAATGGAATCATCTATGTAAGTTTATGTATTGATACCCCAAAACAAAATGAGATAGCTGATAGAAACAACAAAAATCTCTTTACGATATCTCGTTCAATTATGATGTCACATCAAGTTCCTAAATATTGTTTTGGGGAAGTAGTTCTTACAGTAACATATGTTATCAATTGAATGTCTAGTCGGAGACTAAACTTCAAAACACCTATTCATGTTTTGATGGTTATTTATCTTGATATCGGAGCTTTTTATTCTACTATATCACTTAAAATCTTTAGGTGTCTATCCATTTTTCAAAACAATTCCTTAAATTACACAAAACTTGATCGTAAATTTATCAAGTGTATTTTTTTGGGTATGCCACCAACAAAAAAGGGTATAAGTATTACTCTCCTGTTATCAGAAAATACTATTAAGTCCATGGATGTCGAATTTTTTTGAGAATCAATCATTTTACCCAAATTTTGATGTTTAGAGGGAAAGCATAAACGAACATCAATTTTTGGATGCACTTGATGACACCTACACGATTTCATCACCTACTCCACCTAGCCCTCCTATCCTGATTTAGGATGCCCAACCAACCCAACCTAAAGTGTAAAATAAAGAACTTCGTTTGCACACAAGGAGAAAGAAAAACCTCAAGCAATTGAAAGACAACTTGCAATGACAAAATAGCTCAAACCAAAACCTAAGTCTGCATTCACCTGAAATTTCGGGTATGAAGTCTAGTACTCGTGAGTTATTCTCTTCCTCTTTTGATGTTGGTAACAAGGAAAACTGCATTAGATACCCAATTAAGAAGTATGTATCTTATAGGAAGCTATCCCCATCCTGTAAAACTTTTACATCTAACCTTGATAGTATGTAGATTCCTAAATCCATTCATAAAGCTATTGAAAATCTAGAATAGAGAAAAAAATTGAAATGGAGATTCGAGCACTAGAGTATATTGGCATATAGATTCTTAATAAACTCCCTTGGGATAAGAAGCTGGTTGGGAGCGGGCAAATGGGTATTCAATATCAAATACAAAATTGATAGGGGTATTAAGAGATTCAAAACCAGACTTGTAAAAAAGTTTCACTTAAGCCTGTGGGATCGACTATAAAGAGACCTTTGCACCAGTTGTCAAACTTAACACTATCAGAGTTCTCCTTCCACTAGCAGTTAACAAAGGATGTAAACTACTTCAACTTGACATAAAAATGACTTTTTAAATGGAGATCTAGAAAAAGAAGTGTATATGAAGATTAGAAAAATTCCAACAAACACATGACATACAAACTCAGGAAGTCTCTCTCTGAGCTTACGCAATCATCAAGAGCATGGTTTGAAAGGCTTGTTAAAACTATGAAATCTAATGGGTACTCATAAAGTCAATTGATATATTTTGTTTGTAAAGCACACTTAAGAATGTAAGACTGTTGCATTGATAGTATATGCGGATGATATAATTCTTACAAGTCATAATGAAAAAGAGATTCTCAAGATCAAAGAAATTCTTATCCCAAAGTTTAAAATTAAGGACCTAGGTATCATGAATAGCCCAAACAAAAAAGCACTAGGACATAGTGTACAAAATTTTGAGATTTCTCAAAAAGACTCCTAATTATGAATTAATTTTTGAGAAAAACAAGAACAGATGTGGAAGTCAACACTGATGATGGTTGGGTTGGTGAACTCACTAACAAAAAGTCCACCATATGTTACTACTATGTATGGGGAAATCGGGTGACTTCGAAAAGTAAGAAGCAAGTGATTATTTCTAGAAGCAGTGCAGAATTGGAGTATAGAGCAAGAAACTATTTCTCTGAAGGAAATCTGAGAAGATCCTGGAAGATCTGATTGGGACAACTTATGAAACTCTTAATTAGTTTATTCCCTTCATATTCTATGTTATTTTATAATTCATTTCAGGATTATAAATTAGATATATTTGGTAAGTTTGTAAATTAGGAGAGATTGTTTTCCATATATATATATATATATATATTAAAAGCCCAAAAAAACTAATATATTAAATAGAAAAAAAGATACAGATACAATATGTGGGAGGGCCCAAACATGGCACCCTGCCCACACAAAAATCATAAATGGTTCCAAAACTAGAAAAAAATAGAAAAATACATTAGATACTTAAATAAATAACTTAACAGTGCACACACACACATGTGAATAATATGGATCAATAGAAATATTCCCCTCTAGAACTTATTTTCTACATGAATATTTTAGCAAATGTGGTTCTTAGGGCCCAACAAACTCATACTAAATGGTATTGTATCCATATCCACGCAAATATGCCATAAAAAAATGTTAGAATATAACAACCGGTATGCATGAATTTATAAAACAATATAAATCATGTTGTGCATGCATGCACATTGGTTAAATTGACAACATACGCCAAATAAGGCTGAAATGTAAATATATAATAATCAACTTCAAAAATGCAAAATATCATCATCAATGATTTCGCAGATCATGTTTGTGCAGCAATCACTTGAATTTAAACAAGAAAAAACTTAAAGGTTACAAACAATTAAGATGCGTCTCCAAGGATAATTAAGAATAAACTAACTATGTCTTGATATCAAAGATAATAGTTACTTATAGTAAAGATTGTATAAAGAAAGAAAAATAAGCAAAAACATATATGATTTGATTCAGAGTTCTATAAATTAAGCTTGTATTGAAGTGTTTATAATACTTTTATATTTGTGAGCATGTTCATAAGGTTTACAAAAATTCTTAGCAAGTTGAAAAAAAAATCTTCGGTTAAAATTTCCTGTATAGATAATAGCAACTTCACATAAATAGCTGCAAAATGAAATATAATTGATGATCAAGAGCAACAACCAATGCTTCTATGCACCATCAAATTAATAAAAGACTAGCAGGTCTTTCTGACAGAATTGGCCATATGAAATTTACAAAAAAGTATTAATACAAGCATTTTCCGCGGTAATTTAATTAGAAAATGACAATAAATAGAACATTACCAAGAAAAAACAAAAATTCCATTTCAAAACAAATTTTGTAACTTCAACCAACCAGATGAACCCTTACAGAGCACAATGTACATATAATTGGCCTGCAAATCTCAAAAAATTTCTCAGCTAAACATACAAGGATGCCCAAAGCTAAATTTTCGAAAATAAAATGACAAAAGCGATTAAAGATGTGCTACCACCACTGCAATCCAATTAGAAAAATCTAATATCAATTCTTACAAAATCAGGTGTGAATTTTGCCATTTTAGCAACCTAGTTAGGATATTTAATTGTTGTACTATCTAATCAATCTTCTTTCCCCCAACATTCTAGGAACTCGTTCAGCTTCCATTATAACAACAACCTCATCGCAAAATGGCTCCCTTGTCTAAGACTTCTCTTGATGATTCTTCCACCAATATAACCTTTCTTTAACTGTAATAACTTATCTCAAAAAATATAAAAAAGATAGAACCCAATTTAAAGCCTTTGGAGAATCCCATCTGTTCTAATGTGAAAGTTAATCATAGTACAAAAACACATTAAATGATAAAGAAAAGTATAAAATCAAACATAAGGAGAAACTGCAATTGAAAATCTGAAACAACAGAAGAATGAAAGCAAAAATCACCAGCTCCTATTTTTAAAAAGTGAATTATTTTTTTCCAAGTATTCAATCGCACAAGTAATTGTGTGCTCTGATGAGAAATATGCAGAAGGATATTCAATCATAGTTTTTTTTTCCTTTCCAAAAACAGTGAATGTAGACTTGGCGATAAACACAAAAGACAAAAATATATACAACCCAAAAAAAGTCTGTATGCTATTTAACAAGACTAAAAGCTAATTTTATGGTTAATTATACTTGCCAATAGTAACATGTTAATGAAGTTTAAGGAATCTTTGGAAATCTACAGAATCACTATGAAAACATGCACTTTTAAGGCAGAAGCACAGGATAAATCATTGGGATTTCTGGAGGTTTCGAAAGCAGGTGGATTCCAAGAAATATAAAACAATTGCCTTCTTAGGTTAAAATGTTCTACTGAAATGATTAAACAAATTATTAACAGCAATATTTTCCATTAAATAGAGCAGCATTGCCTACCTGCAGTAACTGACCCATCAACTGGGAGTCACGACGAATCTGTCGCTGGAATGAAGCAGGATCTGCAGCGGAACCATCCGGATTTATTCTGAGTTCATTGGCGGATGGCCTGTGATAATTCAGCTGATGAAGATCATCATAAATTTAAAGTATATTCCATTTGAAAACCGCTTGACTAGAATGGAGGAACTGCATGAACTTGTTGATAAAACAAAAAAAAACTAGTTACCAACAAAATCAACAAGTTGAGTGTAATGATCAATTTTTTTGAGAAATTTGAGAAATTTTTTAGCAACTTAAAATGTAACCTAATTTTCGCACCCCTCGGATTTTAATTGGAATAATTTTATAAAATTCTACACTAAAGTCGATCAATTCCATATGAAGTACTGTACGTAAATTATGAACGAAATGTGAAATATGAAATTTGAAAGTTTTCAATTGAATTAATTTTAATTAAACTTAACTATTCCTTAATACTCTCTTTATTCCCACAGCACTGTTTTTAACCTGCCTACCCTATGCATTATATGCATTGATTAAAGAAATTTTCCATCCTGAGCTCTCGAATTTCCCATCCTCTCCCGATACTCCTCTCCCTCCCTCTCATTTCTTTCGACAGAAGATATGAGGTTTCGTTCGGCAGAAGATATGAGAGAGGGAGTTGTGATCGCAGCAAGCCTGCAAAAGGGGTGAGCGGCACCTAGTAAGCCGTGACCTACTCCCCTCTCCATATTTCCTCTCCCGTTCCCTCCTCCCTCTAGGGTTTCACGAGGCAGAAGTCTGCCCTCCGCAAACACTTGTGCTCGGACACTGTAGCAAGTGGCGGACGGGTGAAGAGTAAACCGAGCAGCCCATGGGTGTCAAAGTTCGGAATTTTTGGCTCTGAGACAAATTTTATAAGTGTTAATCCCTATTTCAAGCTATTTGAGACTTCCCTTCTCTTTTCTTTCTATTGCTTTCATTCTGAGTTTTGCCTTATTTTCTGTATCTTTTTTCCTTTCTAGTAGTCGTCGAAGGCGTCCATTGTGTCGGAAACGTCGAACGTCTTTCGCGAGCTTCCAAAAGGGTTCTAGCACGATATCAGCGTAGGAGAAGTGTGGTTGGAGGTGATAGAAAGTAAATTTGACATCTTTGGAGAAGGGTCGGTCGCCAAGAAAGCTGCTTAAGGTATGTTTTGGGAAATTAATCATATTTTTAAGTTAAATCATTTGGAATCTATCTTCAGATCATGCAAGTTACTAGTAGTCTGCGATAAGTTGTTGAGATCAGTGGCTCGTACTGACTATCTTAGAAAACTAGAATTGGGACCCACACTTTTTAGAAATTCCAACCACTTCCTTTTTTCCTGTGATGTCTAGCATTTATGGTCCAAAACCATCATCTTATGTACGCGCAGGTTAAGGGTTATTATGTGAAGACTCAGGGAGAAGTTACCAATAGAATTTCAGGCCCTAAGAAAATATCGTCACGACTTTTTCGCACATACACACACCAAATGCACAAAATTCACAAAATTGCATGAGGTCAGTCTTCTATTGAGCCTAAAAGACGAGTGAAAATGCAAACTTCTCTGGAAGACCTCCGACGACAAAATGGACTGCGTCAACGCGTCCGGGATACTAATTTTGGTTGGAAAGGACACTCATATTGTCATATTTCTGACACGATAAAATTGACACGCAAATCGATAAATTTATCAAAATGACTTCCGACGGCGAAACGGACCGCGTCAGCGCGTCCAGAACGTCAGAATTATTTACAAATGATACCAATTTTGTTATGTTTTGATGCATGGATAAAACACAAATTAAATTTTTATTTTTCAAAATATTAAATATTTTCTTTTATATAAATATCATTAAATTATAATTATATTAAACCTAAATCCTATTTACACCTCTACCCTCACTTAAACCCTCATTCGGCCTTGTGTTCGGCTCGATCCCGCGGCTCGTCTCCCTCTCCTCCGTGTGCCCTAGATCCACGATAGATCCACGCCACTCTCCTTGTCGTTCTTGCTCGCGGCTCGTCTCCTCGAGCTTCCCTTTGGCTTTTCGACTCTCCAATCGCAAGGAGATGAGCTGGCCGACGCTTCTCCTCCTTGAAGCTGTACGCCCTCCCTCTTTATTGTGACGATTCTGTCCCTCTTGTTCTATTCGGCCATGGAACGGTGGTTGATGGCTTCTTCTCTTCTCTTTTCTGCCTATAAAATGTTTTCCTAGTCTACTGTGTTGGGTTGTTGAAATTTTTGAGAGAGAAAGGGAGGGTTCTGAGAGAAGAAGACTTGGATTTTTCTTACTGTGAGGGAAAGTTACTTCTTTCTGATTTGTTGTTTGAGGAGAGTTCTTCCTCTCTGTTAGTCGATATTCTTGTGGTTAAAGATCCGGGAGCTAGAAGTTGTAGGGGCTATTTGCGTGAGGTTGTCGGGAAGGATTACTGTGGGGGAAAGCTACTTCTTTCTGATTCGCTGTTCGAGGGGAGTTCTTCTTCCTCTCTGTTAGTCGATACTCTTGTGATTAAAGAACCGAGAGCTAGAAGCCGTAGGGGTTATTTGCGTGAGGTTTTCGAGAAGAATTTCTGTGGAGCGTTTCTTTCAATTTATTTTAGTGTTTTGCTTTAAATATGCATTAGAAAGAGGTATTCTTCTCCTCTCCTCTATTTTGCATTATTTTGATGGCATGAAGTATGGAAGTTTATTTTGAAGTTTAAGCAAGAATATTTGCTTAGGATTGTGAGAAATGAAGCATGTATATATGGGTGACCTCTACTTTTCTTTTGCTTGAAACATTTGAAGGCATGGCTAGAGTAGTCTAAAAATACATTTTTATTCCTTTATAAATGTCTATGGAAAAATATGTTTGGGGACTCATTCATGTTTCTCTTGCTGCCCCTTTGCTAGAATGCATGCTGGGAATTATTTTATGAGATGGAAAAATATGTTTGGGGGCTCATTCATGTTTCTCTTGCTGCCCCTTTGCTAGAATGCATGCTGGGAATTATTTTATGAGATGGAAAAATATGTTTGGGGGCTCATTCATGTTTCTCTTGCTGCCCCTTTGCTAGAATGCATGCTGGGAATTATTTTATGAGATGGAAAAATATGTTTGGGGGCTTATTCTTGCTTCTATTGTTGCCCCTTGCTAGAATGCATGCTGGAAATTATTTTATGAGTTGAAAAAAAATGTATTTGGGGGCTCATTCTTGCTTCTTTTGCTGCCCCTTGCTGGAATACATGTTGGAAATCATTTCATGAGATGGAAAAATATGTTTAGGGGCCATTCTTGCTTCTATTGCTGCCCCTTGCTAGAATGCATGCTGGAAATTATTTTATGAGATGGAAAAATATGTTTGGAGGCTTATTCTTGCTTTTATTACTACCCCTTGCTAGAATGCATGCTGAAAATTATTTTATGAGATGGAAAAATTAGTTTGGGGGCTTATCCTTGCTTCTCTTGCTGCCCCTTGCTAGAATACATGTTGGAAATCATTTCATGAGTTGGAAAAGATATGTTTGGGGCTCATTTCATGTTTCTCTTGTTGCCCCCTTGTTTGAATGCATGTTGGAATGAAATTATCAAAACTTTTATTGTTGATATTCATGCTTTACAATAAATGCTGGAAAAATATGCTCTCCTTTGGCCCATTTGGTGGTCTCGGTCTTGGTTTTTTTCTTTGGGATTGATTTGGAAGTATACTTTTTGTTTTGAACCATGCATTGGGTTCGGTTTGCCCCTGTATTGAATTCGGTTTGCCCCTTTCTTGGGCTTAGATTAGGCTCCTTTCGGTAATATATGAAAGCTGAAGTTTTTTTGCTATTTTGGAATATTTCTGGGCTTGGTTTGTCCTCGTATTGGGCTCGGTTTTGACTCTTTTAAATGGGAATTTTGGATAAAAATGTTTTTTTTTTTTTTTTAGCTCATTTGGAGTGTTCGGTTTAGCCTTCATGTTGTTAACTTTTGCCTCCCCCCCTCCCTATGCTGGCTCGATTTTCCCATTTTGTTGGGTTCGGGTTGCCCTTTTGCTAGGCCCGGTTTGTGCTCCTTTAGGTGAGTTATGTTGGCTAAAAATTCTTTATATGTTTGGACTATTTCTTTGGGCTTAGTTTACCCCTTTGGTGGGTTCAGTTTAAGCTTCTTTTGGTATTATATTTTGGCTGAAATCTCTTACTGCTCAGAATTGTCCCTTGGATTTAAATTGATATTTTTGTTGGGCATGGCTTGGTTGGAGGTCTCCCTTCTCTTTTGGCTTTACCCTTGAGCTCCCTTCTCTTTTAGCTTTACCCGTGAGCTGGATTTGGAGCTTGGCTGGGGTTCTGGTTGTCTTACCCGTGGGCTCTCCTCTTCTTGTTGCCTTACCCGTAATTTCTCCTCTCTTTTGGCTCCTTCTCGTGAGCTGGATTTGGGTTTTGGTTTTGGTTTGCTACCTTAACCGTAAGTTTCATGTTTACTGTCTCAACAATTCTATTCTCTTTTGGCTCCTCCTCGTGAGCTGGATTTGGGGCTTTGGTCTGCTGCCTTTGCTGTGAGTCTAGCTTAATGATTTGGGGTTGTCTTTGTCAAAAGGATGGCTTGGTGGTTTTGTTTACTTAGTAGATTTTGGTCTGTTGCATTTGAGGCCTCTCCTTGGCCCTTACCCGTGGATTGGTTCTGTCTTTGGGACCTCCTTATTGGTCCTACCCGAGAGCATACCTTTGGGTTCTTTTGTGAGATATTGGATATACATTTCATTGTAAACTTTTGATAAATGGTGAGATTAAATTAGTTTGACATTGGTATGATTTTCTAGAAGGCTAGTGAGTTATTTCTTCCATTAATTAGTGACATTTCTTTTGTGAAATATAAAGGGCTTATACAATTTCATTTGGAGAAAATATGGGGTTGACGCCAATTGAATTCATGTGGGGTTTGGAAATTCATAAAACTGCCACGGGTCGATTCATTTATGAAATGTGAGCAAATGATATTTTTCTAAGATTGATTCAAGGACCTTAAGACCCTATTCAGTGAAGTTTAAATTGCATTTTTGAGACTTTATTCGTTAAAATTTGATTTGCATGTTGAGGCTTTCATATATCGGTTTGAACAATTTAAGTGTTGATTCTTGGAG